GCTCTGAAAGACAGTGGAGAACACCCAGTGAAAAGCCCATTCTATCTACTGTTTTTCTTCTTATATAATGTGAATTGTTGCTTCCCCAGCTCTCTTCCACAGTATTGCGCCTAGAGATGCTCGGACCCCACAGAGTTTCTGTCCCCCAAGCTTAACCGAATAACAGAGTTGGAAGGGACCTTGGAGGTCATCTAGTCCAGCCCCCTGCTCAGGCAGGAGCCCTATACCATTCCTGACAAGTGGCTGTCCAGTCTCTTCTTAAAAGCCTCCAGTGTTCGGCACTGGAGTACCCATGACGTCTGGAGGCAAGACGTCCCACTGATTAATTGTCCTAACTGCCAGGAAATTCCTCCTTAGTTCCAGGTTGCTTCTCTCTTTTAGTTTATAATAATAATAATAATGATAAAGTTGGAAGGGACCTTGGAGGTCATCTAGTCCAACCCCCTGCTCAGGCAGGAAACCCTATACCATTTCGGACAAATGGCTGTCCAGTCTCTTCTTAAAGACTTCCAGTGTTGGCGCATTCATCGCTTCTGGAGGCAGGTAGTTCCACTGGTTAATTGTTCTAGCTGTCAGGAAGTTTCTCCTTAGTTCTAGGTTGCTTCTCTCCTTCATTAGTTTCCATCCGTTGCTTCTTGTCCTGCCTTCAGGGGCTTTGGAGAAGAGCTTGACTCCCTCTTCTTTGGGGCAGCCCCTGAGATACTGGAAGGCTGCTATCATGTCCCCCCTCTTCCTTCTCTTCATTAAACTAGACAGACCCAATTCCAGCAACCGTTCCTTATGTGTTTTAGCCTCCGGTCCCCTAGTCATTTTTGTTGCTCTTCTCTGTACTCTTTCTAGAGTCTCAACCTTTTTTTTACATCGTGGTGACCAAAATTTGGATGCCGTATTCCAAGTGTGGCCTCACCAAGGCCTTGTAAAGTTCTTGTTCTCCCCTCAGGGGCTTTGGAGAATAGTTTGACAACCTCCCACACACTTCTTTGGGGCAGCCCCTCAGATATTGGAACACTGCTGTCAACCTCTGCTAGCCATAGGGACAGAGGGCCACTGACCATGGACAGAGGACAAGTGCTTCTGAGGAAGTGAGGCTTATATTTCTGTTTGACCTTTAAAGCCAAAGCTTGTTATATGTGCCGGATTCGGCCATTCTGGTTGTTGTACATTTCTGCAAAGGAGTGAACTGCCTCTGTTTGCTCTAGGTTTCGACAGAACTACCACAATGGAGTTTTAAGAAATCTTTATCAGAAGTGGAACTGTTTCAGAAACCCGAGTTTACAAGTGTAGGATTTGTTGTCTGAGAAATAGCTGCAATTGTTTGGGTGCCACAACTCTCTCAGTGAGCACGGAGATGGATGTAGTTGAATCCATCCACCTTACTGCTGGAAGAACCATATATTTTTTCCCCTTTTGTACAGCATAGTGTGCCTCCCAAATGGCAAAGGTTGCTAAAAAGATGCTGGTTTGACAGGGGTGGGTGGGGGTTACCCTAAAAACAAATGTTCAGTTTTTCGCAGAATAAACCCTTTTTCCTTAAGATGTCTCTGAGAACCACTCTGGGATCTGTTTCAAGGCACCAGGCTGGAAACCCCAAGTTCTAGTCCCACCTTTGGCTTAGGCCAGGGGTGGGCAACCTTGGCTTAGGCAATCAGGCTGGAAAGTTGCATGGCTTGTGGCCAGGTGTCAAGACACCCAAAAAACCAGCCACACAACTCTGGTCATGCGCAACCTGGGGCCACTGCCCCTTCCGCGCTGCTTCAGACTGTGCCATTGCAGGTCAAAGTTCTTGGGACAAAAAGAGCAGAGCATTTAAATCAGGGGTGGGCAACTGTGGCCCCTTTACCACCACCACCCCCCATGGCTAGCTCAGGAATTCTGGGAGTTGAAGTCCACAGGTCGTAAAGGGCCCATAACTACCCATCCCTGATTTATACGAGGCTGGGGTTGTTGCAGGTTAAATTGGCTGCCCTTAGATAGGGTGGCAGCTACTCTGAATGTTTTTGTTTTTTAAAACAAAATTAGGGTATTTTTCCTCCAATTCTGATGTTTCTGTGGAAGTGGTCTGAGAGCAAGAAGTAGGCAGGCTGGACTTGACCAGTTGGGGGATCAGGCCCTCCCACCCGGCCGTCTGGTCTATCACTCAGGCAGGTTGTTCCACTGGTTAATTGTTCTCACTGTCAGGAAGTTTCTCCTTCGTTTCCATCTGTTGCTTCTTGTCCTGCCTTCAGGGGCTTTGGAGAATAGCTTGACTCCCTCTTCTTTGGGGCAGCCCCTGAGATATTGGAAGACTGTTATCATGTCCCCCCTCGTCCTTCTCTTCGTTAAACTAGACAGACCCAATTCCAGCAACCGTTCCTTATATGCTTTAGCCTCCAGTCCCCTAATCATCTTTGTTGCTCTTCTCTGTACTCTTTCTAGAGTCTCAACATCTATTTTACATCGTGGTGACCAAAACTGGATGCCGTATTCCAAGTGTGGCCTTACCAAGGCCTTGTAAAGTGGTATTAATACTTCACCTGATCTTGATTCTCTCCCTCTGTTAATGCAGCCCAGCAGTGTGTTGGCCTTTTTGGCAGCTGCAGCACACGGCTGGCTCCTATTTAAGGGATTGTCCACTAGGACTCCGAGGTCCCTCTCACAGTTACTACTATTGAGCAAGGTACCCCTTATGCTATACCTGTACATTTGGTTTCTCTTGCCTAAATGTAGAACCTTACTTTTGCAACGTCACTCTTGACGAGACACGGCAGCAAATGTTTTTCTCTGGATAGAGGAGGCATCTTTAGAGGCCACCAACATTTACGCCTTTGGCTTTTTTTTAGAAACCTTCAGGTCTCAGTCTAAATTTCTTCCTTGGCTGCTGGGCTTGTCTTAATGTTTGAGGGAGAGTCTAGTTCTTGGGCAGCAGCGTCAACTTCCATCCTTCCTTTAGTCTTGGCCTACAAATGTCCCCACCCACCCACCCCAGATGGTTGCTCGGCCCTTAACATGCAGTGGGTCTGTCCTGTGACCGCATTGAGCCAAAAGGGTCCCTCGCCCAGGTCCTCTTTCTAAAAGCAGCCCACCGCGTGCCCTCCCCATTATTTGAGTCCCCTTCCCCCTCCTTTTGAAGCCCTTCTGAGCTCACTGATGATGCTGGGTTTGTGGAAAATAAAACTCCATAAACTAATCTTCCTCTCACTGAAAGGCGATGCTTTTTTAAATGGGGTACACAGAAGCCCCCAGAGGCTTCTCCCCTGCATCGTCCCAGCCCCCCTCCAGGGGCCAACAGCCTTGGCCTCCTGCCCTCCCAGCCAGCTCCTGACCAGCCCTTCCCTTTCGCACACGGCTGCCCAGGCTGCCTCCTCTGCCAGGGAGCGGGCCTCGTGGTTTGGCCAAAGCCCAAGGAAACGCAGATACAGGCAGTCCTCGACTTACAACAGTTCGTTTAGTGACTGTTCAAAGTTACAACGGCACTGAAAAAAGTGGCTTATGACCGTTTTTCACATTTATGGCCATTGCTTGGCAACCTGCTTGGTAACTGGCACGTATTTGTCACTGTCGCAGTGTCCCAGGGTCGTGTGATGCCCTTTTGTGAACTTCTGACAAGCAAAGTCAAGGGGGGAAGCAAAGGCGTTGCTAACTTCGCAACTGCAGTGATTCACATAACAGCTGTGGCAGGAAAGGTTGTAAAGCAGGGCAAAATTCACTTTACCGTCTCACTTAGCAACAGAAATTTTGGTTTTAGTGGTGGTTATAAGTCAAGGACTTCCTGTAATTGTCTCTGGGCTGCCCGTAATAAGAAGCGTTAATCCATTCTGATCTCTGATCCCACGTCAACACAAACGGACACGTATCTTGTCTAAATTAACACACAGTACAAAGTGTCTATGGAGGTTTTCAATCGTCCAGGTCACAGTTATCCCTAAGGTGCTTTTTTTCACAAGGCAACCGGATTGTCTTGTTTTTCTTTCAAGACGTTTCGCTTCTCCTCCCAGAAGCTTCTTCAGCTCTGGTGGGGAATGGGAGGGTTTAATATTTCTTGGCAGTCATCTGGTCGTTTGCATCCTTTGAGAGAGCCGTTGAGGCCACCTGGAGGCTTGTCTGTGTCCTCAGGGTCACCTGAGTGGTGCAAATGGGTGTGGAGCCTTCTTGGAACTGTTGAAAGGATTTGTGTTGTAGACTGGAGATGGATGATGTCCTACCCCTCCTCCTCTACCACACAGTCCTTTCAACACTTCCAGAAAGGCTCCACACCCATTTGCACTACTCAGGTGACCCTGAGGACACAGGTAAGCCTCCAAGTGGCATCCCAAAGGTGCTTTTTCAGGAGGCAACTGGACTGAAGAAGCTTCTTGGATGAGAAGCGAAACGTCTTCAAAGAGAAACTAGAACAGGGGTAGGCAACCTTGGCTCTCCAAGGTTGCCTACCCCTGAACTAGAAAGTCCCGTTGACCCCTGAAAAAGCACCGTTGGGACACAGCGCGAAGGGAGAGCGCATGCGACCCCTGGGCATTTTGAATCCGACTGGAAGCAGCAGAACCACAATCAGAATCCATCAGCCAAAAGTCTGAAAGGACGTTTATGTTGCATATTTACAAAACATCACTATATAAACAACTTGGGTTTTATATTATTATTATCATCAAGGCAAAAAAGTCCAGCCAGTCCTGATGGGAGCCCCACCCAGAGTTCTGACAGCAGGGTGAGCCATAACCGCCGAAGGGGCGCTCTCGGCCGCGGTGCCCTTTTCTTCTCGCCGCCTAGGATGTGGGTCAGTTAGGATGCCTCCGCCCGATGCTGGTCCCTTTGCCATAAGCACCTTCCACGCCCACCCCACCCACCCCGCCACATCTGCAGGTCTGAGCCTCCTCGGCTTGCTTGCAAATCCAGCCTTGGGGCTCTCGGTCTCTCCCCATAAGTTCGTCCTGCTCCAGAAGGCGGCCAAGGGCAGGCCAGAGGGGCCCGGCCAGTTTCTGCCGCTGTCGCCAGCCTCGCCACCACCGTCCTGCTTCCACGCGGGGCTAGCTCCGAATGGCTGTCTTTCTTTCTCGGTCTTTACTCTGCAAGGGGAAAGGAGAAGGGGGAGATTATGCAAAGCCATCCAGAAGTGGCTCCAGGTCTATAAACAAACCAACAGGCATGGCCTCCTTCCTCTTGTGGGTGCCAGATTTCTAGCCTTACCCCCCTGCACCCCTCCTGTGCCCAAGTACCAACAGCCGGAGGAGCCCTTCCGAATGAGCGCGGGGCTTCCAGGGCTGCCAGTTGCCCCCTTCCCACCTGCCTCTTTATTAGGATCCCTCTGTGCGTTTGGACCCTCCCCTGGGAAGGACGTTGCTCTCTGTCCTTTGCTTTCCTGCAGTTAGGAAGCAACTTGGGGGGAGGAGGGGTAGTCTTTAACTGGAAGTCTTTGGGCTGGGCAATGGCCAGAGTCTCCCTGGCTGGTCATCATTGGGGGGGGGGGGCTTCAGAGGTAGAAATGGGAACATCCTGAGGCAGCTTCTTCGGGGCCTTTTGGGGGGGGTTTGGGGTCAGGAGGCCCCACGGGCGGGATAAACGGCCAGCCAGCGGATGGTTCTTAATGGGCAAGCCCATCCTTCGCTAAGGAGGAGGGGCGATCCCAGGAACGGCCACACCGAATTTCCCAGATGTTCAGGCCCCCGAGAGCCCGCTTGCTGTCTGGAGAGGAAATGGGGATCCGGAAAATGCTGCCCCTGATCCCTTTGCTTTCCCGCTGCCCCTGAAAGCAGGAACCGTAAATTAAGGGGGCTACGCAGCTGGCTTCCAGGTGCCTCTCCCTGCTTGCTGAAGTGCCTGTGGGGATCCCCGGGACCTCTCCGTTCAGCTTGCTTGCGGCTTCTGAGTCGGTGCCTGAGAGGGAGGGGAAGGACTCCCCCTCCCCTCTTTGGGGAACGTTGCCCAGGAAAAGGGTCCCTGGCTGAAGGGCGCTCATGGAAGCTTCCATGGCATTCTCGGGAGTGGGCTCCTGCTGGCTCCTGCCCAGGTTTTTGAACCAGGGAGAGGCTCTCCGCTTGAGCCCCCTGCATGCCGGCCCCTTGCCTTCTCCGGACGGGGGACACGGCTCCTTTGGCACCCCAAAACATTGCAGGGGGCTCCTGGGGCTCCTTGGAGCACGGCCATCCAGCTGGCCCTTGCAGCTCGAAGGATCCAGATATCCCATCTGGTGTTGCTGTGTATGGAGGTCTCCCCCCCCCAGCCCCCAACCATGCTGTGAATGCCTGACCCCTCTAGACCTGGGGGGGGGGCAGCTGCCTTGGTGGAGACAGACTTGACTTCAAAGAGGGAGCAGATTCCCCCCCGTTAAAGAAACTGCTGCTTCACGAGGTGTGTGAGGAAAAAGCAGAAAAACTCCTTTGAGTTCTGGGACCCGTTTGGTTCCCTTCTTTTCATGTGGAATTCTGTTTGGGTTTATGAGAGTGAACATGGGGGGGCGGGGGGCGGGACCCTGGAGCTTCTTCACCCGAGGGGCTTTGGAGACAGACTCCCAGCTGTGGCTCCCAGTTTCCCATCAACCACGCGGACGGCGTCCCCACCCCCAGAGACATCTTGACCCTCCATTAGGAGAGCAAAAGCCGAGACTTTGCATTCCCCGCCCCCCCAAGTCCTGGTCCCCACTTCTGATTCTTTCCAGCCCCACGGGCTATGGAGAAAAAAAGCTGCAAAGGTGCCTGGGGTCCCTCTGTCAGTGGGAAAGTCTGAGAAAGAAAGGCCAAGCTGGATGCAGCGGGGGGGGGGGACCCCTCCTTCCTCCTTCCCAGTCCTGGGATCCAGAGCAGAATTATTTTTAAGGGGTGGGACAGAATTGTATTACCTAGGCCCTAGGCTTTTCCTGGCTTGTTGTGAATAAGGATTTGTACTCCTTATAAGGGGACATTGTGGATGAAATAGTCGAAGGGCAGGTGATACGGCCAATGGGAGAAAAGCTAGTTTGCCTGTTTTCAGTGTTTTGTTTTGTTTTTTGCTTCTGAAATGTAGCATTGCAACCTTGAATGCAATGTGTTGCAGCACCTGTGTTGCAGCACCTGGTCATCCTTTAAACATGGGGGGCCCAGCAGCTGCAGCCGTGCCCAGGGCAGGTGGGTGAGAGAAAGCATGGCTGCCTTTGCCCCCCCCCCCCAAAAGAAAAAAGTCACCACCAAAACAGCACAAGAGCCATGGGGCGGCGGTTAAAGAAACGTTCTGTGCTTTTAAGCAAGTTCCAGGCCTGGGAAGAATGACCCCCAGGAGGGCTTCCAGAAGGATCCTTTCTGGAGGCCTGGTAGCCAGACAGTCTTGGCATCCGAGAAGAATGTCAAGCGAATGCAACTAAAGAGTCCCTTGCGAACGTCTGAATCCACCCAGTGGGTGTCTGTGAGCCCCTTAAGGACTGCTGCACTTAAACCCTCGGCCGTTCTGAAGTAGCCCAAGAGGGCACCTTCCAATCTCCCGCCAAGGTCCTGGAGCCCCTCCAGGCACCAGAGGCCCTCTGAGCAGCCTGTTGGAAAGCCCTCCAATATACTTGGCATTGATTGCATTAGCATTTGTTTTTTTAAAAAAAATCAATACATTGCTAGTTAATTTGGCTAGCTATTGTGGGAAGTAGGGCATTGGATTAAAAGTATAAGCCGGGTGTTCTTCAAGTGCTGTCGGGACAGGAAGCGAGGTAGAAAATGGCGACGTAGAACCGAGTCCTCAACTCAGCCCCAGAGGTTGGCTGGTTGGCTCTGACCCTCGTGCCCTCTCCCAACCCGAAGGAGAGGCTGGGGGAGCAGGTCTGTGTGGGGTGCCTTAAGCTGCTGCATGAAGGGCGGAGTACAGATCTAATTTTAAAAAACAAAAACAAAATCCAAACAAAAATTAACAAAACCACTGTCATTTTTGGCCAGTGCTCTGAGCACCTAGTGCAGCAAAACCGTTGGTGGCTATGGCTACTTTCATGCAATTACTCTCCATCGGGGGGGGGGGGACGCGAGAGGGAATTCCGTACCTGAAAAGACAGCATTGCGTGCCAGACTTGGGGCGGCCAATTCCCCCCCCCCCATCGTTCCCCCTCTGTCCTCCCATCGGCATCAAGATGAGAGCAGCAAAGGTGGGGCAAAAGGCCTGCAGGGGGAGGAGGGGTCCCCAAGCCCTCTTAGGAGGTAGCCAGCCCCGGGAAGACACTGAACGTGGATGTGAAGTTAACAGTCAGGGCGGAAAGCGGCTCCCTGCCCTCGGCTCCACGGAAGGGAGACCCCCCCTTCTGAAGACCCTCTGGGGAGACCTCTGACTCGGGAGCGCCTCTCCTAACAACTGCCAGCCTCCTTTGGGGAAGTTCAGTGCCAGAGCGCCCCTCCCGTGGGCAGAATGACCCGGGTTCGAGCCCAGCGTTTCTCCTGGAGTGTCCTGAAACGACCTGTGGCTGTCCGGGAGCCCCTGTCCACGGAGGGGATCGGACGGGTCCAGAGGAACCGCTGACCTGGCCTGCTCTAGGGCGGCTTCCTGGAGTCGCCTTTGGGCCTGCAGCTGTGGCCCCCTTGCTGACTTCGGCGGCAGCAGCAGAGGGAATTCTGGGCTCTGCATGGCCCGTTTTTTTTTTTCATGAAGCGCCTTTTCTTGCCTGTTAAAAAAATGGTTGAGGGGGTGCTATTTTGGTGAGGTGGGCGGCTACATACATCTGATAAATAAAATAAATAAATGCTGCCAGAACTTGCTGTACTTGGTCCCTTCAGGTCCAAAGACGCCCCACCTTTGAAGGCAGCCAATAAACTCCAGCTAGGTTTGGGGGTCTAAATACGACTCCCCCAAGTTCCCCCCATGATGCCGGCCGTTATGAGGCGGCAGCTCCTGATTGGGGACCATTTTTAGTGAAAAGAAAAACTGCCCAGATGTGAATTGTCGGAGGGCCAGTTCTCAACTTCATTGATTGGGAACCGGGGGGGGTGGGGGGAAGCCTTATTCCTTATTCCTTAATATGGATCACAAACAAATCCGACTAAGAAGGGTCGGCTTCATCCTCCTGGCTGGAGAGTTGTTCCTTCCTGCAGCCCTTCTGGAAGTTTCACATGAGATCATTTCAAAATCCTTACTTGCGTCCTCTGGGTAAACCGGCTGGGGGGGGGGGACTGAGACTGGCAAAGTGAAGGGAGGAGCAGAGAGAGGGGTACTTCCCGCCCAGCATGTTATCATTAATTAATTTTCCCAGTTGCAGTCCCAATTGTAGACACGGTTTATGAAGCTGATTCACTTTTAAGTGGGTCGAACGGTTGCAAAGGCGGACTTGACCTCCACATAGAGACGTTTCATAAAATAGCACTGGGTTCCTGGGGGTGGTCATCTCTCCCCAGTGTATATTTTTTTTCTCCTTCTGGGTGATGGATGCTGCCTTCTGGGCCGTGACCTTTGGAAGGTCTCCTGCTCCACAGATAGGTTTGCAGAAGTGTCTGCCCAGGAGAAAAATCTCCCCTTTCATGCTGAAACTCAAGAAGGTGCGTTTCCCGCGGCTGCCCCTGCAGCAGCCTCTGTTCCTGGATGCCACAAGGCGCATTTCCAGTGTGCCACTGTTGCTTGAGAGATTAAGAGTGCCGCGCGCACGCATGGACGCTTCCCCGTCCGTGGTCCCCCTTGCGTGCACGCTCCTTCGACGGGCAGAGGGACTCTGGCCGGCCAGTGCAGCTTTCCTTTCCCAGCCAGGCTGGACGTGGCCGAGAGTTTTTTCTCTCTTCTGGGGCTGCTCTGCTCTTGCCCTGAATTCTTGCTCAAATTCCTCAGGAGAGCAACTGGCAGGGAAAAACGCGCACACTCCCAGATGCGGGGTCCCAACACTCACCAAGCAGAGAAGCAGAAATAATGCCTGCAAGCGTTGTGTCTGTGAGAAATGAGGCCTGAAACCACAGCCTCCTCGAAACAATTGCGGCAGCTCACAAGGGTTTGGAATTTGCATTGTAAATATACGCCTATGCTAGGGGTAGGCAACCTTGGCTCTTTTAGGACTCGTGGGCTTCAACTCCCAGAATTCCTGAGCCAGCTGTGCTGGCTCAGGAATTCTGGGAGTTGAAGCCCACGAGTCCTAAAAGAGCCAAGGTTGCCTACCCCTGGCCTAGGCCATTTTTAAGAAGCAGCTTACTTTTTCTCCTAGTGCAAAGAGGGACTTACGTTGCAGAGGGATCCTCCTGCTTTAGAGAAGATGTGAGGCATCCGCATGCTGTTGAGGGCTGAAGGTGCCACAGTTAAGTTTCTAGAGGACCAGGAAGTTCGTCCTTCCCACCGAGACACGTTTCCCCTTGGGTCTGTGGGATCCGGCATGCAGGCTGTGCCTCTTCCTTGCTCCTTCCGCCTTTCAAAGGCTGGGCCTGGAAGGGAAGGCGGCCTGATTCGCCTTCCCCTGATGTTCAGGTGAAGGTGGTGGTGGTGGTGGTCACCCCCTTGTGTGGCCGCGCACGAGAGAGAGAAGGGGAGGGAAAGGAAGCCCCATCGGACGAGGCCACGTGCTTCTCTTTCCCCAAGAAGCTTGCATGTTTTGTTCGTGTGAAGTGTCTCGTCCAGGATGAGTAAATGGAGAATTGAGGTCACCCCCTCAAACCGGCCAAGATTGAATTCTGATCATTTTTCTTTCTTTCCTCAGACGCCTCTCTACGTCCTTTTATCTTGTCTGGTTCCACAGACTCTTTCGTCATACGTTAACCCAAATGCGCCCGTAATTAAGATTGATTTGAGGAAACGTGTCGGTTGCCCCGTATAGACAATTACATCCACGGATAGTAATCTGGGGACCCACGGGAGTTGTGGTCCAAGAAATGTGGAGGCACCCCCCGTTTTTTGCTCCTGGACCACATCCGCTCCTCCTCTCTCTCTGCGAAGGGAGAACACATGGCGTCCTTTTGGGGGGTCAGACGTTCCCCTTCTGCCTTCCGCTCTGCGATTGGACCGAGAGAGGCTTCTGGGAACTCCCCAAGGAAGCCAGATGTTCTCCTGCTCCTGGAGGCTTTGTCCTCGGCATTGCTGGCTTCTCCCAGAGGTTGCAGGCCTTTTGACCGGCCACCCCGCTTTCTGCCCTTGGGCACCCCAGCCTCCGTAGCCTCTTGCTGGGAGAACCTCCACGAGGAAGGGGGCTGTCATTCTGTGGGTCCGGGACCTGCCGAGAGCTAGTTGCCTTAGAGGGGGGGGGTCTGTACCCTAGACTAAAACACAGCCCTTTCTTCAGCCCTTCCACGCGGAAGGGAAAACGTGGACATTGTATTGCGTGGCACTTTCCGTTAGGCTACAAGTGTTTGTGGCACATTGTTTACGAACTTAAAAGAGTTTCCTTGTCTCTATTGCTGGCTATTATGGAACTAAAACATCCGAAACAGTCAATGGGAAAATGCATTTTTTCTTACTTTAAATATTTTTAAAAAGGCTTTTTTTAAATCGCAGCTAAAATCTTCAAGAAGGATAGTTACTACTCAAAGTGTGCCAAATGTGTCTGTTGCCACTCCATGTTTTTTGCTTTAACAATAATTAACGTTCCTGGCTAAAGTCTCTCAATCGAGGGCCATCAGGTACTTTGAGCCGTACGGAGGGAGGGTGGGCAGCAGCCTTTTTTCCTTGCCAGACCAAACACCCGGAGGAGCCCGTGGACAGCCGTCTTAAGTAAGAGGGGACCTTTTGCTTGGCAGTCACGGTGCTCATAGGACCCTAGTGGACACTCGCCACGGTGTGTGTGTCTGTGAAGTGAGGGGTCTCCAGATCTAAAATGTGCAGCGGCAACGGATACGGCAGGGGTGGGAAGATCCAAGGCGGGGGGTTCACCAGGCCTTGGCGTGCTGGTCTGCAGCGTTGGTCTTTGTTTCCCCACCAGACTAGAGAGGGGCTTTGCTGGCGGGAGGCATCCTTGAGCAGGCAGGACCCCTCCCCTTCCCCAAAGCCGCCCCCTCCAGTGGATCCTGGGGCAGGCACCTCTCTCTCCGTCCCCCTTCCTCTGCCAAGGTTTCTTCGCCTCTTTACCCTCACGGAGATTGTGCCCGTGTGCTGATATTGTGGCTGGTTGGATGGGTGTTGTGGGCAGGCTGGTTTCTTTGCTTCCGGCTTAACAGATCAATGGGGGGCGCGGAGGGCAGCTGCCTGGAAGGGCTTCCTCCCTTAAGGTAACCGTTGTGTCTGGAACGGACTCCAGCCTCCCGGTGGAAGCCCTCTGCTCCCGGGAATTACTGGGGCTCCTCGGCTAATAAAGGTTGGGCACCTGAAGGGCCCTCTGGGTCTCCCCGGAGCAGCCCAAATGGGCCCGCTGGCTCCGAGGAGGATCCCGGTCCCTGCTCATTATCGGTGTGTTCAGGTGGCCTGGCTGGAGGAAGGGAGCCAGCCAGCGTTGGGAAAGCCTCAGGTTGCCTTTAAAAAGGATATTTGAGAACAGCCCTTGGCTAACCAGAGATTGTCAGGATGGCCCAGTTCTGGCTTGCGGAAAGCCCAAGGGCTGCTCACGTCTTCCCCTCACCGCCCCCCCCCCCCCGTCTCTGGGCTGCCCTGCCCGGTTGGCTTTGATCTCCGGGGAGGGGGATTCACCCCGGTGCTATTGGGTGGGGTGGGGGACACCCCCCTCGGACCTCACAGAGGGGAGCCCCGGCGACGGCCCCCGCCCGGCCCCCCCCCGGCGCCACTCACCAGCTTCCTCTGGTTGCTGAGGCAGAAGGTGCAGATCTGCTTGGGCTGGGAGGCCTCGCTCTCCTGGGCGGCCGGGCTGCCGCCGCCCTTGCCGCCCCCGCCGCGGTGGAAGAAGGCCGGGCCGGCGTGGCAGGGCTGCCCGTCCCCGCAGGCCTCCCCCGCCAGCAGCACGTTGCCCAGGTGCGCGATGTAGCTGGAGGCCAGGCGCAGCGTCTCGATCTTGGAGAGCTTGCGGTCGGCCGGCTCGGTGGGGATGAGCGTCCGGAGGGCGCTGAAGGCCGTGTTGACGCTGTTGGTGCGGTCCCGCTCGCGCGCGTTGGCCGTGTGCCGCTGCCGGGGCTCCCGGGACACGCCGCGGCCGCCCTTCTTGCCCGGCCCGCGCCGGCCGCCCGGCAGCCCGTAGGCGCCCGCCTCCAGCGCGTAGGGCTTCTCGTCCGAGCCGGAGCTCTCGCCGCTGCCGTTCTCCTCCTCCTCGTCCTCCTCCTCCGACAGCAGGCTGCTCACCTCCGGGTACAGGAAGCGGCTGGGCGCCGAGCGCAGCAGGGCGAAGGAGGACATGGCCCGGCGGGCGGCGGCAGCGGGCGGAGGCGGCCGGCCTCAGCTCCGGCCTCTCATCTTTCGGCCGGCCGGCCGGCGGGCGGGCGCGGGGCGACGGGGCGGCGCTCCCCCGGCCTCTTTATCCCCGGGGCTCCTTTCGACTCGCCCGCCTCCTCCGCCGGCTCTCCAGAGCGGGCCCCTCGGCGCAGGCAGAGCCCCACGTGCGGGCGGCGGCGGCGGCTCCTGTGCGACGGCAGCGGCCGGACCGGCGCGCGCGAGTTTTATATTGTCCGCGAGTGGCCGGCCGGAGAGGCGCCTCCCTCGCTCGCTCCGTCTCTCGCGGCGGCGGCGGCAGCTTCACGCCTACCTGAGCGTCCTCCTGTTGGGGGGAGCCCCCGCCCCCGCCCGGGGGCTGCAGGCTGGAGTGCTGGGAGGGGGGGGGCCGTGCGCTGACTTCACCTGTTGGATGCGGAGCTTGGGCTGGCTCGGAGCTTCCTGCGGGGGGGGGAGGGGAGGCGGCCGGAGGGACCCCTCCCCTCCCCCTCGCAGTTAGGAGCGTCCAGCTGAGGTCAGGCCAGGCCAGGCGGGAGGTGGCTGGGGAAGGACAGTGGGGAGGAATAGAATAGAATAGAACAGAACAGAATAAGAAACAGAATAAGAAACAAACAGAATAAGAAACAGAATGAATAGAGTAGAGTAGAATAGAATAGAACAGAATAAGAAACAGAATAAGGAGTAGAATAGAATAGAATAGAATAGAATAGAATAGAATAGAATAGAATAGAATATATGGAATGGAAATAGAATAGGAATAGGAATGGAATAGAACTGGAAGGGACTTTGGAGGTCTTCTAGTCCATCCCCCCCCCCCCCCCCCCCCCCCGCTCCAACCCAGACAAGTGACTGTCCAGTCTCTTCTTAAAAACCTCCAGTGATAGAGCATCCACAACTTCTGGAGGCAAGCTGTTCCACTGGTTAATTGTCCTCACTGTTAGAAATTTTCTCCTGTTAGGTTGTTGCTTCTCTCTTTGGTCAGTTTCCATCCGTTGCTTCTTGACCTGCCCTCTGGTGCTTTGGAGAATAATGTGACCCCCTCTTCTTGGTGGCAGCCCCTTAAATACTGGAATATTGCTATCATGTCATTCCTGTTTCTTATTTTCTTTAAACTGTCCAACCGTTCTACATATGTTTTGGTCTCCAGGACTGTGATCATCTTAGTTGCTCTTCTCCGAATTTTTAACAAGGTCTCAACATCTTTTTTGTAGTATGGTGACCAAAATTGGCTGCAGTATTCCAGGTGTGGCCTAGGGTTTTATAAAGATTAACCCTTGCCAGGCTGCTACTCTAGAGAAGCTGCCCTGCTCCTGAAGGCCTTAGCAGCACCAGGCCCTCCTGGTCTTTGTATATGGATCCCATCTGCACCCCGTCGGATCCGCTGTGGACTCCGGTCGTGTGGCAGGAGCAGAAAACCTCCTCCGCCATCCAGAGGCCCCCCACACATTTTGGTTCCAATCCCTCTGCACCCTCCTTGCCAGGGTCTTCAGATGGGGCTAAGCCAGGGCACGCAGCAGCCTCATGGAGCTCGTGGCGCTGTCGGTCTTGAGGCAAGGCTGATTCCTCTCTTGATGCAGCATGCAGGTAGGCTGCGCTCGGCACTGCCAAGTTGCTGATTTAAACTCTTTCCTGGTTTCACAAAACACAGTGAAGCATCAGCAGAAGAACCTGGACCGCTTGCTCGGCTGTAAAGAAGCAGCCAGTTCAGGTCCCTCGTCTGGGTTTTATCTCGCCCCCCCCCCCCCGAGTCGTTTGGAGCCAGGCACTGGCCCTGATGGATGGATGAATAAATAAACCTCTGCCTGACCAGGTCCCACATCTTGCTGGTTAGAAGATGGGTGGCAATATAAATGCTTTAAATACGGTGGGCAACCTTGACTACTTTAAGACTTGTGGACTTCAGCTCCCAGAATTCCTCAGCCAGCATAGCTGGCTGAGGAATTCTGGGAGCTGAAGTCCACAAGTCTTAAAGTGGTCAAGGTTGCACACCCCTGATTTAAATAAATAAACAGAACCTCGTGGGAACAAATATGGCGTCCCAAACTTTAATTGTGACCTGTTGCATGCTGGGAAGCTGACTTCCGGTTCCGGGGCCCTCGGAAACGGCCTCCTTTCAGGGCAGCCGGCCAGGCATACGATAAGACGGAGCAGTTTCAGTTGACTTTGGGCTCGGAGACCTGGGATCGGGTTAGCACCCCGGGCAACCACACTCTACCTTGGAGCTTGGGCCAGGGGTTCTCCTTCTCTCGGCAAGGGCAGCTGCTGCTCCTCTCTGGGGAACTGGTGCTACCTTTCAGGTGCATTTGTGTCCCCCCCCCCCACTTCTGAGGAGCCCTGTCCTCTCCAGAAGGAAGGACCTTCTCCGTCTGCCCCCAAAGGCGCCTAATCTTGGGATCTCCTGGTCAAGCTGCCTTGGCGGGCCCAGGGGTCTGCGGGCTTTCCCCCCCTCGTGCTAGGGAGGGAGAGGCCAGCCAGGAAAGGGAAGGGACAGGACAGGGCAGAGACACCTGTGCTTCCCGGCCTCACCTGGCCAGCCCAGGTCAGGACAGATGAGTGCTTCTCGGCTCTGGGCAGGGAACGAGGAGGAGGGAAGCCTTGCAGGACCCCTGCCCAAGTGGAGCTGCAGAAAGACCTTCCTCAGCCATAGGACAGCCCTGGTTAGTTTGCTGCAGTCTGGATAAGAGAAAGATCCCCCCCCCCTCTCTCTCTTCCTCTCTCTCACACACACTTTCTCATTATCTCTCTCTTTCATTCTCTCATTCTCTTTCTCATTATCTCTCTCTCATTCTCATTCTTTCTCTATTTCTCTCTCTCTCTCCCTCTTTCTCCCTCTCTCTCTCTCCCTTTCTCTCCCCCCTCTCTCTCTCTTTCTCTCATTCTCTCTTTCTCTTTCTCTCTCTCTCTCTCTCATTATCTCTCTCTCGTTCTCATTCTTTCTCTATTTCTCTCTCTCCCTCCCTCTCCCTCTTTCTCCCTCTCTCTCTCCCTTTCTCTCCCCCTCTCTTTCTTTCTCTCTTTCTCTCTCTCTCTCTTTCTCTCTCTCTCTCTCTCTCTCTCATTCTCTCTTTCTCTATTCTCTCTCCCCCCTCATTAGCTCTCTCTCTCATTCTCTCTTTCTTTCTCTCGTTCTCTCATCTCTCATTCTCTCATTCTTTCTCTATTTCTCTCCCTCTTTCTCCCTCTCTCTCTCTTTCTCTCTCATTATTTCTCTCATTCTCTTTCCTTCTCTCATTCTCTCATTATCTCTCTCTCTCATTCTCTCTTTCTCATTCTCTCTCTCATTCTCTCATTCTTTCTCTATTTCTCTCTCCCCTCTTTCTCTCTCATTATCTCTCATTCTCTTTTTTCTCTCTCTTGTTCTCTCTTTCTCTCATTATCTCTCTCTTTCATTCTCTCTCATTATTTCTCTCTCATTCTTTCTCTATTTCTCTCCCTCTTTCTCCCTCTCTCTCTCTCTCCCTGTCTCTCCCTCCCTCTTGCTCTCACTCTCTCTGGTCCTCCTCCGTGGGCACTTTGGGTTGGCGGTCAGTCCTCCTCCTGAGGGCATCGGACCCTTTGGGGGAAGGCCTGGGGGGGGCTGCCTCCCCTGAACCTGCCCGGGGCCCCTCCCGGCTCAGCCTTTCTCCGCTGGGGGTTGCCTTGCGAAGCCCTGGAGCAGAGCCAGCAGAGTCTGTCCAAGGCGGCGGGGGGGGGGAGGATTTCTCTTCCCTCCCCTCCTCCCCCACCCCCAAATCCGTCTGACACCCCCTCCCCCCTTTCCCTCCGGCTGCTCCCCCTTCCCTTCCTTCTCCACGTGGACCAGCAATTTTCGAGGCAGGGCCGTGCCAGGAATGCACACCCAGGAATGCCTCGGCTCTTCCAAGAGCAACTTCCAGACGTGTGGCTGAGTGACGGCAGTGCCTGGGGGGGGGATTGCCAGAGGGGGGGGCTGATGTGTTAATTGTGGGAGGCAGCTGGAGGGGCGGGAAAGCTGCTACTGGCATCAGCTCCGCCGTAGGAAAGGCTCTGGGCTGCTCTGCTCTGCGCTCCTCTCCTCTCGGGTCCCTCCTCCCCCCCCTCATTCAAAGTGCACCTGGGGGGGGGGAGGAAGCCATGCTAGGTGGATGTCCCACCCCAGCTCTGGCAGCAGATTCGGGGCTCCCTGTTTGCGATAGTCCTTTCCACCTACGGGGACCGGCAGTTCCCCTTTCCCCTCTGCTGCTGCTGCCGCCGCCCTGGGAAGCTCCCCTGAGATGGGGGGGGCACTTGCCCTTACTCAGAAGCCTGGGAAGGGGCCCATTCTGGATCCCTGGGATCTCCAGGAGGCGGAGAGACAGTCGGGCATAAAGGCAGAAGAGGCCGGGCATGGCCATCTGTCAGCCCTGGGGGGGGGTGCAGGAACAGCGTGGCTGCACCCTCAGAATCCCCCCCATCCGAAGGGCTCCTGGGACCCCCGTTCCTTTCTCCTGCGGCTTCGCTTCCTGGTAGGTGCCTTGCGGGGGGGGAGGAGAGGCGCTTTGGCAATGAGTCACCTGGATATGGTCAACATCCTGGGCTAGGAAATGAATTCCTGGCCCTGGGAAGGGTGGGAGGGGGCGGGAGGGAGGGAGGCTCTTTTCCTTCTGGAGAGCTTCTGAAGCATCCCGCCTCACTCAGGGCCTTCCGATTCACTCCTTGCCTCCCTGTGCTCGTGGGGGCCCGGAGGGCGACCCAGGTGGGAAAGGGGGGGGGGTCCCAGGATGCCTCCAAGACAGGGAAGCAGATTCCCCCTCCATCAGCTGGCAGGGAAAGGGTGGAGTGGCCGAGGAGCCCGGCTCCCTCAGGGTGGCCAGAAATGGGATTTCCAGCAAAGAGACTCGGCTTTCCAGTTGGTGGGATGGGCCACAGAGCCCCCCCCCCCCGATGGTGGATGGTTAAGCATGTCCGTAATGCTGAGCGCCTCCTGCCTCTTGGAAGAAGAGGGGTTTTGTAGTCCTACCTTCACTGTGTGTCTGGTTGTGTTGCTCTCTGGGGGCGGCTCCTTTGTGGGACCCTGCAGACAGGTGGCTTCCAGGCCAGGCTGCATCACTAAGCCTCCTGGCAGGGGAGCCACGTCCGGTCTGTTGCTGGGGCTTGTGAGTGGCCTCCGTGGCAGAGGCAAAGCTGGCCAGGTGCCCTCTTCTGCCAGGAGAGCCTGGAGCGTGTGCCCCAGCCAGTGCCCCCTTTCTGGGACAGTGGGGACACAGAGACTGGCCATGGAGGGCAGCACAGCTGGAAGGTGAGCCCTGGAAGAGAAGCAGCAGCTCCAGGCAGCAGTCCCTGAGGTCAAGGGAGCCCCCACTCCTGCCAGTGTAGCTGGGGGCTGCCAAAGGGGGAGGGGTGTTGCTCCCCTCCAGGAGGGAGGGAATTATGGCCTGGCTGACCTCCAATGGTCACTGCTGTCCTCGGGAGCTGCCTTGAGTCCCGCCCCGCACTGCTGGGTCTGATGGCGTATTTCAGGGAGGGGGGGCTCACCCAAGGAGGCCCCTCTTCTGCGGAGCTCTGGCCTCCCCCCTTCCACTGGTTGCCAGGGAGGGCCCCCCCCAGGCGCATCTGAGGGCCCTTGAGGGGAGCCCCCAGGCACTTTTCTGATTTGAACCCCAGGAGAGGCCAGCCAACCTTCCTTGGGGGGCAGCTTGTAGCCCTGGGTGTCGCCCTCTTTGCTCCCCCATGTCTCTCTCGCTCTCCCTGTTGCTGGGAATCGGCGGCTGGAGTTGTGGGGTGCTGACAGAAGGGCTGGGGGCAAATGCAAGGGCCGCCTGGCGCCCTCTCCCGCTCTGCCCCCCCTTGTCCCCTCCGACCTGGGGATGCAGAGGCTGGGTTGGGCCCAAGCGGCCACTGGGGCTGCTCAGCGGCCCCTCTCCCTCCGGGGCGCCTGGCCAGCCCAGTCCCGAGCGGGGGCTCCTGAAGGCTACGGGAGGATAACCAACCTTAATGTTAAAAATCCAGACACCCAAATGAACATAAGCGATCAACACAATTTGGGAAAGGTGGATTTAGTATGGCAATGTAACGGAAAGGTTCCTCTTTTCCCCTCCCCTGGCCTCTGCCTGCAGCCCCCCCAAAGGGTATCCCAGTTTTGGGGGGTCTCAGCTGTTTCCCCATGAGACAGAAGCCTCTGGGCTCTTGAACGCCTCGGCAGCGTTCGGTGGGTTTGTGACTCCTCTTGACGTTGGCCGTGAATGCTGGAAGGCTTTTGTCGGTCACCGATGGCTGCAGGTTGAAATTGTACATATTCTGCCAGATGGTGCTGGTCTCCACCTGTGGGCCCCTCAGCAGCCCCCACAGATTGTCCTGCAAGCAAACAAAATCAGGATGCAGACCCCTTAGCAGAGTCTCTTCCAAGCTGCTCCCCCCTCCCTCCCCTGAAGCCCCGCCTCCCCCCTGAAGCCCCGCCTGCCTCTCTTCTTCCAGGACATCCGCAACACGGTGGGCAACATCCCCATGGAGTGGTACCAGGACTTCCCCCACATCGGCTACAACCTGGAGGGCAGGCCGATTTACAAGCCCATCCGCTCCAAGGACGAGCTGGACAAGTTCCTGGAGAAGATGGAGAGCCCCGACTACTGGTGAGGAGCCCCCACCCACCCCCACCCCACCCAGGGGCAGCTGAAGCCCTCCTGGGCTCTCTTTGGGCAGCCCTTCCCCCCCTCCCCTCCCCTTCAGGCTCAGGCAGAGACCCCCTCTGCAGGTGGGCTGGGCCGAAGGTGGGCGGGGCCTGTTGCAGGGAGAGACAGGTAAGCTGGGAAGCACAGCTGCTCATGGCTCTCTCTGCCCCCCCCCCTTTGTGTTCCCTCTATCTCCCCCTCTCCCCCCCCCCCAGGCGAACGGTCCAGGACAAGATGACCGGGGCGGATGTGAAGCTGACAGACGAGCAAGTGGAGCTGGTGAACCGTCTGCAGAGCGCCCAGTTTGGGGACGTGAATTTCAACCCTTACGAGGTAAGCAAAGGGCTGTTGCGCCCCCCCCTCTGCTCCCAGGGAGCCACATTTGGGGGGAGCAGCGGCTTTCCTGCAACTGCAGCCCCCCACCTCTGACTCCTTTGCAGCCGTCCGTGGATTTCTTCAGCAGCCAGGTCAGGATCCACCCAGTGACAAACCGGCCTGCGGACAAGCGGAGCTTCATCCCTTCCTTGCTGGAGAAGGAGAAGGTGAGCTGCTGGAAAAGAGAGGGGCTCCCCTGGGGAGGGGCCTGCCCCCCCTCTTACCTTGGCCTTGCCCCGAATACACCCCCTTTCCCAGGAGTTACTGTCCCCACACAGACACCGGCGATCTGTCCTTTGAAATCCAAAGGTTTGGCAGGGCTGTGTGTGTGTGTGAGAGAGAGAGAGAGAGACTTGCTCAGGTGTAAGGGCGATGGCGCTGTGAGGCAGCTGCCTTGTGTGAAAGTGATCCTGGGAAGGAGCAGCCTGGGGATGGAGACCCTGGAGTGATTGGGGCTCAAACCAGGTCCCGGCCGGGTCCCTTCCAATGTACAGTCCAGGTGGGCCCCTCAGAACTGCCAAGACCACCTTTTTTCTGAACCGCAAGAGAAGTGCTCAGAGACACGGGTGCTGTGGCTGCTCCCCCAGTCAAGGGCTCTCTGGAAATAAGGGCAGGCAGGGAAAGGCCGCCATGCTGCTTGGAGAAGGCCGAGTCCAGGACACCTCCAGGCGGGGCCTCCGCAGCTCCCGGAAGGCCCCGGGGTGGGTTCATGGCGGCTCTTCTGCCCTGGCAGGTCTCCAGACTGGTCCACGCCATCAAGATGGGCTGGATCCAGCCCAGGAGGCCCCGGGAGGACACGGGGGTCTTCTACGACCTTTGGGCCCAGGAGGACCACAACTCCATCCTGGGACGGCACAAGATGCACGTGCCCGCCCCCAAGCTCCCCCTGCCCGGGCACCAGGAGTCCTACAACCCTCCTCCGGAGTATCTGCTGACCGAGGAAGAGGTGAGCAGAGCTGGGCCCAGCTCCCCTCCCCTCCCTGGTCTTGGGGCAGGGGAGGTCACGGTCCGCGCCACAAGGGGGGCTTTCTTGGCCTGCTGTAACCCTAACCCTAACCCTGCAGCCGGGCAGGGGGCTCTGTGCTCCGCCCAGGGGGGTGGTCGGAGGGGCAGAGGAGCCGCCCTGCCTAAGGTCTCTTCCCAGGGACGGGGTTTTGCCCCTCCCTCATCTCTTTCCCCGCAACCCCCTGCAGAAACTCGCCTGGGAGCAGCAGGAGCCCGAGGAGCGCAAGCTGAGCTTCGTGCCCCAGCGCCACGACTGCCTGCGCCGAGTGCCCGCCTTCCCTCGCTTCATCCACCAGCGCTTTGAGCGCTGCCTCGACCTCTACCTGTGCCCCCGCCAGAGGAAGATGCGGGTAGGCTTGGCCCCTTCCGGTGGGGGGGGGAGGGGAGTGCGCAGACCCGTGTGGCCATCGGCCGCCCCTCAGCGGGCCAGGCGGGGCCGTGCCCCCTTGATCCCGAGGGAGGGCAGGCCGTGGGCGTCTCCCTGCGCCAGCCTGGGCAGTTGCCCCCCGCTGGGACCGAGGCCGGGCAGGACGGACGGCTTCCCTCCTTGCCTTCCAGGTCAGCGTGGACCCCGAGGACCTGATCCCCAGGCTGCCCAAGCCGCAGGACCTGAAGCCCTTCCCAACCGCCCAGGCCTTGGTGAGGCTTTGCCGGGCGGCGTTCCTTGCTCCGCTGGGTCTTTGCTGGGCTGCTGAGCAGCTGCTGGAAACAGGCAGCTTCTGTGGCAGGGTTAGGGTTTGGGGGGGATTTTTTGATAGGGGGATGGTGGGGCCCCAGAGAGCAGGCTATGGGGGGGCTGCTCCAGGATGCCCCTTTTCCGCTTTCTGCATTGCTTCACTCGCCTGCCCGTCCCTCTCTCCAGGTGTATCGTGGCCACACCAGCCTTGTGCGCTGCATCAGCCTCTCTCCCACTGGGCAGTGGTTGGCATCAGGTACGTACGTGGCCCTGCGCGGCCCCTGCTCCCCCTGCCTTGAATAAGGGCGGTTGCTTTGTTCCTGGCCACGTCTTGACTCCCCAAGGCGGCTGAGAGGAGGCAGCTGGACTCCTGGGCCAGGTCACCCAGGATATGGAAGGGCAGGTGTTGGGGGGGGGTTGTGGCTGTGAAGTGGGGATTCCCAGTCCTGCCAGGCACCCCCCCTGTCTGGCCTCCTTGCCCTGCCCAAAGGAGCTGCCCTTCCCAGAGTCTTGGGTGCAGCTCAGAGACCACCCATCTGGCTGTGGGCGTGGTCTCTGCACTTCATCCTCATGCAAATGAGGAGAGGCTCCGCCTTCCAGCCAGAGATCGGGACCCTTGCCACAGGCAAGCCCCTCGGGGCTGAAGGGTGCAAGGCCGTGCAGCAGTGCAGGTCCCCCCTGGGGGGCTCGGAGGGAGAGGGCTTAGTCCTTCCAGAGAGCCACCAAAGGTCTCCATCCTTGGAGGACGCCTGTTTCGGAGGGACCAGGGAAGACGCCACGGCTCCTGTGTCTCTCGCCCAGGTTCAGACGATGGCGCGGTGAAGTTCTGGGAGGTGTGCACGGCCCGGTGCGTGAAGACGCTCCCAGTGCAAGCAGCGGTGAAGAGCATCTCCTGGAACCCCAACCCCACCATCTGTCTGGTGGCCGTGGCTGTGTGAGTACGGCTTCCCGCAGCCACAGGAGGGCCTCAGGGCCAGCAGCCACGGGGCAGGCTGAAGGGGGCGCCCGGGTGGGCAGGCTTGAAGTGGCAAGTGGGACTGATGAGAAAGGAAATGGGGGTGGTCTAAAATCATTGGGAAAGGAGGAGCAGGAGGAAAAGTCAGCCCCTTCCTCCAAAACCCGCGAATGGGTCTCCAGCCACCCAGGAAGCGATCGACCCCATTCCCCATTCGGGTCCAGCGGAGAAAAAAAATCTCTGGGTGCCCGTTCGGCACAGAGGAACGGTCTTGTTTTGGGGGGGGCGTCTTTCCTGATGGGGAGAAAGGGGGTTGTGTCTCAGGTGCACCATACAGGGGAGTCTTGGGGGGGGGCTCAGGAGTGACTGTGGCTTCCGTTTCCCTTTTTGTAAAAGCTTTTGAAGTAGACACACCTGGGAGGGGGGGGAGGTGAATCTTGGCCTGACCCGATTGTTGGGCGGCTGCCTTCTGCCCCGAAAGAGTGGGGGGGTCCCCCTGACGCTTTCTCTGGGCCCCCCGTACCTTCCAGGGAGCAGACGGTGCTGCTGGTGAACCCCAGCCTCGGGGACAAGCTGCTCTGTGGGGCCACCGACCAACTTCTGGAAGGCTACGTGGCCCCTGAGGAAGGCCGTCTGCAGCCCGTCACGTGGGAGGAGGCCACGGAGGAGGAGCACCGCCTGGGTGTGCGGCTCAGGCTGAGGTTTGGGAAGGTGCGGCCTGGGCACAGTAACCGAGCGGGCGGGTGGGGCAGGCCCGGGGGGGGGCTCTTTCTGCCTCTGCCCGTTTTCCCCAACCTGGCCTCCTCCCTCAGCCCCTGAAGCAGGTCACCTGGCACGGGAAGGGCGACTACTTTGCCACGGTGGTGTCGGACAACAGCCACCTGCAGGTGCTGATCCACCAAGCCAGCAAGCGCTGGAGCCAGGCGCCCTTCCGCCGCAGCAAGGGCCAGGTGCAGCGCGTCCTCTTCCACCCGCTGCGGCCCTTCTTCTTCGTGGCCACCCAGCGCTTCGTCCGCATCTACCACCTGCTCAAGCAGGAGCTGACCAAGAAGCTGCTCACCAACTGCAAGTGGGTCTCCAGCATGGCCGCCCACCCCGGAGGTGAGCCCGGGGCTGCCCAGGCCCACATCGGGTCGCCCTCCTGGGCACGGGCAGGGGGACCTCTTCGGTCTGGCCCCGTCAGCCCTGCCTGGGACAGGAAGGCCCCCCCCCCATCAGTCTTCCTGGGCACGGAGGGTGGCAGGGGCGGCCTTTCAGCCTGTGCCCCAACGGGTCCCCCTCTTCCCAGGCGACAACTTGATCTGCGGCAGCTACGACAGCAAGCTCGTCTGGTTTGACCTGGACCTCTCCACCAAGCCTTACCGGGTGCTCAGGTAGGGGGGAGCAGCCAGCCCTCCCTTTCCACCCACCCCCCTCCCCGTCTTCCGGAATGGTTCTCCAAACTCTGCCTTATCCAGCCTGTGAAGGCAGTGGGGTGGGGGGGCTTCTTCCCCCTGGAATGCAGGAGATACTACCACCTCATTGCTGGTCTTCCCAGCCCGGATGCTGGCATCCAGAGGGCAGGCCGGTCCCTCCAGTGTCCGTGCCCAGCGTAATTCTGCCTTCAGCAGCCCCCACCCACCCCTGTTAATCAGCCAGAGCTGATGGCTCCTCCTTGGCTGTGAGCCAGTCCTAGAGCAAAGAGCCCCCCCACTCCCCTCCCCCCGCAGCCGTTGCTGCTTTTCCTTCCTTCTGCTTTCGGACCAGACCCGCCTCCGTCTTGCAGGGAAGGGCGGAGGGCACCACTGGGTCAGCTTTTCCCTTCCCCGGCAGGCACCACAAGGCGGCCCTGAGGTCAGTGGCTTTCCACCCTTCCTACCCGCTTTTTGCCTCTGGCTCGGATGACGGCAGCGTGATTGTGTGCCACGGCATGGTCTACAAGTGAGTGTCTGCACTGGGGGGGGGGAATGTGGCAACGGGTGTGTGACAGAACTGGCCCCGCTGACCGTTCTCCCCCTCTCCCTCCAGCGACCTGCTCCAGAACCCGCTGCTTGTGCCAGTGAAGGTGCTGAGGGGCCACGCGCCAGCCCACGACCTGGGCGTCCTTGACGTCCTCTTCCACCCCACGCAGCCGTGGCTTTTCTCTGCGGGCGCAGACGCCACCGTCCGGCTCTTCACGTAGCCCTGCGCCCGGCTCCAAACAGACTTGGCAGGAGAGCGGAAGCCGGGGGTGCCAGACGCTCCGTGGGCTCCTTTGCCTGGGAGGCTGGAGGTTTTGGTCCCGGCAAGGAGGAGGAGGAAGAGGCAGCCGCTGGAGCAACGCCACACCGTGCAGGCCTCCAGCTGGGAGGGGGGGTATCCTGGAGGACTGAGCAGGCCAGGCACAGGGCGCTCTTTTGCGTTGTTTGTGGGTCCCACCCGCTCGCTTGGAAAATAATAAAAGTGCCTGCTTTGTAAGGAAGCCCCCTTGACCAGAAACAGAACGGGGGGGGGGGGCAAACTGGATAAAAGGAGGTGGGGGGTGGGTGAGTGTTCTGGTAGAGCTGCCTTTGATCCTGACCCCTCCCGAAACGTCTTGGGACTCGGCCATTTTCTATGCACGGGTAGAAAAGTCCCTTTTGCATCCTCTTCCTCATTCTAAATGTGCCCAGCAATTCCTGGCCCCTGGCAGAAGGCTTCATGCTCAAACAGCACCTCATGTGCTCCCCCTTCTCCTCCCCCCCCCAGTCCTAGCATTGAAAAGGGGGTGCCGAGTGTGCAAGACTGACGGCCTGGTCAGCAGCAAAGCCTCCCACGGCCGGAACCCCCTGAGCAGGGGAGGCAGAGGGACCTCTGAGGCCAGAGGGAGGCTGGCCGTATCAGGCTGAGGGCACTGATGGTGGTTACTGCAGGGGCCTCACCTGCCCTGCTTGAGGTAGCCCTCCCTCCTCCCCCCCCCAAAACTGGCTGGTTTCCATAGGGTCCAGCTGGGCACTTCCCTTTGAAGCTGCCATAGCCGCCCTTCGGGAACGATTCTGTCCCTCCCTCCAAAGAGGAGTTGGGCGAAAGGAGGCCGGATGGAGCTTTCCAACTTCCAGAGAGTCAAGCAAGCGGGAGCCCAGAGGGACTGGGGGGGGGGGGGNCCCCCCCCCCCCGTTAATCAGCCAGATGGCTCCTCCTTGGCTGTGAGCCAGTCCTAGAGCAAAGAGCCCCCCCACTCCCCTCCCCCCGTAGCCGTTGCTGCTTTTCCTTCCTTCTGCTTTCGGACCAGACCCGCCTCCGTCTTGCAGGGAAGGGCAGAGGGCACCACTGGGTCAGCTTTTCCCCTCTCTGGCAGGCACCACAAGGCGGCCCTGAGGTCAGTGGCTTTCCACCCTTCCTACCCACTTTTTGCCTCTGGCTCGGATGATGGCAGCGTGATTGTGTGCCACGGCATGGTCTACAAGTGAGTGTCTGCACTGGGGGAGGGAAACGTGGCAACGGGGTGTGGGGGCGGAACTGGCCCCGCTGACCGTTCTCCCCCTCTCCCTCCAGCGACCTGCTCCAGAACCCGCTGCTTGTGCCAGTGAAGGTGCTGAGGGGCCACGTGCCGGCCCACGACCTGGGCGTCCTCGACGTCCTCTTCCACCCCACGCAGCCGTGGCTTTTCTCTGCGGGCGCAGACGCCACCGTCCGGCTCTTCACGTAGCCCTGCGCCCGGCTCCAAACAGACTTGGCAGGAGAGCGGAAGCCGGGGGTGCCAGACGCTCCGTGGGCTCCTTTGCCTGGGAGGCTGGAGGTTTTGGTCCCGGCAAGGAGGAGGAGGCGGCGGCCGCTGGAGCAACATCACACCTTGCAGGCCTCCAGCTGGGAGGGGGGATGTCCTGGAGGACTGAACAGGCCAGGCACAGGGCGCTCTTTTGCGTTGTTTGTGGGTCCTACCCGCTCACTTGGAAAATAATAAAAGTGCCTGCTTTGTAAGGAAGCCCCCTTGACCAGAAACAGAACGGGGGTGGTGGTGGTGGTGGTAAACTGGATAAAAGGAGGTGGGGGTTGAGGGGGGGCGAGTGTTCTGGTAGAGCTGCCTTTGATCCTGACCCCTCCTGAAACGTCTTGGGACTCTGGCCATTTTCTGTGCACGGGTAGAAAAGTCCCTTTTGCATCCTCTTCCTCATTCTAAATGTGCCCAGCAATTCGTGGCCCCTGGCAGAAGGCTTCATGCTCAAACAGCACCTCGTGCGCTCCCCCTTTTCCTTCCCCCCCCCAGTCCTGGCAGTGGAAAAGGGGTGCCGAGAGTGCAAGACTGACAGCCTGGTCAGCAGCAAAGCCTCCCACGGCCGGAACCCCCCCCCGAGCAGGGGAGGCAGAGGGACCTCCGAGGCCAGAGGGAGGCTGGCCGTATCAGGCTGAGGGCACTGATGGTGGTTACTGCAGGGGCCTCACCTGCCCTGCTTGAGGTAGCCCTCCCTCCTTCCCCCCCCACCCCGAAAACTGGCTGGTTTCCATAGGGTCCAGCTGGGCACTTCCCTTTGAAGCTGCCAGAGCCGCCCTTCAGGAACGATTCTGTCCCTTCCTCCAAAGAGGAGTTGGGCGAAAGGAGGCCGGATGGAGCTTTCCAACCTCCGGAGAGTCAAGCAAGCGGGAGCTCAGAGGGACTGGGAGGGGGGGGGCTTTGCGAGCATGTCTGCCTGGTTCTCTGGACAAGGGGGTGCCTGCTGCTCTCTCTTCTCTGCAGAAGGAACCCCTCAGCCCCCCCCCCCCCCCGTCTCAGCTGCAGGCCTGCCAGGCTCCCATTCAAACAGCAGCAAGGTGGAGGGGGAGCTGGGATTTCCAAGGCTGGGGGGGGGATGCCCCTGCAGT